TCGAACGGCGTTTCCAGTTTATTGCAGCATGGATGGGGCATGATGATTTTCTGCCTCTTGTCACTGAAGCTTGGAAGAAAAGCACTAACTTCCTTCCCTCCCTTAATATGCTCACTAAGGAGCTCAAGAGGTGGAACAAAGACACTTTTGGAAATATTTTCAAAAGGAAGAAGAAGCTGCAACGCAAATTGGAAAACCTCGAATGGCAGAACGATTGCAATCCTAATTCACAGTCAATCAAAGATGAACATGAAACTAGAGAAGAGCTGGAAGACACACTTTGGCAGGAAGAGCTTCTTTGGTTTCAAAAATCAAGAGTGAACTGGATTACTTTTGGCGACAGCAACACACGGTTCTTTCATACAAGCACGCTGACAAGAAGAAGACGTAATAAAATCAAGGGATTGAAGGACAACTTGAATCAGTAGATCACGGATCCTGACCAACTACAAAAGATGGCAAGGGGATTTTACATCCACCTATTCACTAAGGAGCAATCAGGAGAAAGAACTTCTGTGGCTGCTGACTTCCCCACGACTAATGAAGCAGCACTTAGAAACTTCTGCAGAATTCCCCTCCTGATGGAAGTGAAAGCAAGTGTCTCAGGAATGAAAGGAATGAAGGCACCAGGAAAGGATGGGTACAATGCATTGTTCTACCAACGATGTTGGGACCTTGTGGGAGCTAATCTCCACAGCTTTGTGGTGTCTTGCTTTGGCAACCCGGAGCTTATCAGAAGCATCAACAGCACCCTTCTGACTTTGATCCCCAAAGTCTATTCTCCTCATTCAATGAGTCAATTCCGGCCCATCAGTCTCTGCAATGTCAACTACAAGATTGTGGCCAAGTGTCTTGCGGATAGACTGAAGCCTTTGATGAACTCACTCATCAAGCCCAACCAAGCAAGCTTTGTACCCAACAGGAACATTAATGATAATATTCTGATTCTTCAAGAAACTGTCCACTCGATGTCCAGGAAGTCCGGTAAGAAGGGCAACATGCTTCTTAAAATTGACCTTGCTAAGGCCTATGATCGCCTTGACTGGGATTTCCTAGAAGAAACTCTGCGAGCAGTTGGAATCCCTGCCGATGGAGTACGACTGATCATGACTTGTGTCACCACAACAGAGCTCCAAGTTCTGTGGAACGGAGGTGAAACAGAGGCATTTCAACCTGGCAGAGGCCTTAGACAGGGATGTCCCCTCTCCCCTTACCTTTTTACGTTATGCATTGAACGATTAGGACATTGCATCACTAGGGAGGTGAATGATGGTAGATGGAAACCTGTTAGGCTCTCCAAGGAAGGACCTGATTTATCCTACCTCTTCTTCGCCGATGACTTGGTTGTCTTTGCTGAGGCAAACCTGAGGCAAGCTGATGTTGTCATGAATTGTATAGAAAAATTCTGTTTGGCCTCGGAAGAATTGATTAGTAAGGAAAAATCCAGAGTTTTCTTCTCTAAAAACATTAGGAACCTGGAAAAATCTTGCATTTGTAAGCGTCTCGGCATCCAAAATACCTCTGACTTAGGGAGGTACTTGGGAGTTCCTGTTTTGCATGGTAGGATTACCAGAAATACATATAAGTATATTTTGGAAAAAATGGACAACAAACTGAACGCCTGGAAAGCTCGAACTCTTTCCTTGGCCGGCAGAGTTACTCTGGCTACTGCTGTTTTGAACTCAATTCCAAACTTTGCTATGCAATCTTCTGTTTTACCCATGTCTGTTTGCGATGAGATCGATCGTAAGATTCGTGGATTCGTGTGGGGAGCAAAAGATGGCAAACGTAAAGTCCATTTGGTTAGTTGGGAAACCATTTGCAAACCTAAAAGTCAGGGGGGTCTTGGATTAAAGAGTGCTCGCTGCTTGAACTTTGCTTATCTTATTAAATTGGCTTGGCAGATTCTTAAAGATGAAAAGGCTCTTTGGGTGCAGGTGCTTCAGAGAAAATACTTCTGGCAGAAAGGTGGAGTTATTACATCCATGAAGAAGAGTAATCACTCACCGTTGTGGAGAGGAATCGTCAAGGCGATGCCCACCATGGACTCTGCTACGTGCACCAGTATCAGGGATGGAAACTCCACTGCCTTCTGGCGGTAACCATGGATCGAAGCTGGAATGGTGCTCGAGGACTTCCTCATCTCAAGCATTGGGGAGGAAGAAAGGGAAGCCCCTGTGTCAAATTTTGTTACGAGTGTCGGGGAGTGGAATTGGGACTACCTGAATGGTAAACTGCCTGAAGCTATTCTCTCTATGATTGCAGGTACAGACACGCCAAAGCAAGAGCTTGGAGAGGACAAAATCATATGGGGGCTGGAAACTGATGGAAGGTTCAGATTCAAGTCTGCTTACAAATTGGCGGCGGACGAGCTCGAAGAGGTGCCAGGAAATGAATGGAAAAAGTTATGGAAATGGAAAGGGCCGAACAGGGTCAAACACTTTCTCTGGTTAACCTACCATGAGAAACTTCTGACAAATAAAGAGAGAGCGAGAAGAAACCTGACGGAGGACAGCAAGTGCAGCTATCCAGGTTGCGAGGGATGTGATGAGACCACTGAGCACATCCTAAGAAGCTGCCGAAAAACAGAGGGAATTTGGAATTTCTTTAGACACACGATCCGGGTCAAGAATAGAGCCATCCCATTTCAACAATGGCTCTTACAAAATCTGGAAGATGAGGAGAAGGGTGCTGACTTCGGAATCATCCTATGGCACATCTGGAAACAAAGGAATGAAGAAGCGATGGATGGCAAGACGTACTGCGAACAAAGCCTCATTAACAGAATTTTAGCCTTTATTAGTGTTCTGCAGATACCCCAAACAAATGACCTGAAGTTGAAGCCAGGGACCTGCAGACCAAAGGAGAACCACCAAATTGCGTGGTCTCCCCCTGAGGAAGGATGGGTGACCATCAACACTGATGGATCAGTGATCAAGGAGAAGAGCATGGCGGCTGGAGGAGGTTTGGTTCGTGATCATCTGGGGAGGTGCCATGGTGCCTTCTCCGCTAATTTCGGAAACTGCTCCATCACCAGAGCCGAGCTTAAAGCAGCCGAGCTTAAAGCAGCCGAGCTTGGGCTGGCTATGGCGTGGAATTTGGGGTTCAGGAAAGTGATTCTTAGCCTTGACTCCACCACTGCACTTAGCATCATTAAGCATAGGGAAGACGCTGCTCACAGGCACGGACTTCTTACACTGGAAATTAACCGCCTCCTGGCAAAGAACTGGGATGTTCAAGTCATCCATGGTTATAGAGAAAGCAATTTTGCTGCTGACTTCCTAGCTAGGAAAGGTCACAGCCTTCATTTTGGACCCCATTCGATTGATGTTTTTGATATGGGGCTTAGCCACTGGCTATCTTTTGATGTAATGGGAATATCCCACGAACGTTTAATTAATACGAATTAGACGCCATTGGCATCTACCTTCCTACCAAAAAAAAAAGAACCAAAAAACCACACAATCTAAATCCGAGCCCTTATATAACCTAAATTCCAAACTTTTATCAAACCTACAACCTAAATTCAAAATCCTAGTCCGAAAGGAAGAGATAAAGGAGGATGTTGTTGCCAGTTTTTTTTTTTTTTTCTGGGTAGGAGAAAGAAAAGAAGTGAAAAGGAAGGCAGCTGGGGTGAGTTGGGGAATAATTGCTTCTGGCAAGTTTGAGCACATAAATGGTTGGATGGTCCAACAAATTTTTCTTTAAACCCTCAAAACGATTTATGATAGGGAATCCATCAATCCACCCTTATCTATCATGCCATTTGGGGGTAGAAAGCAACATTAGAGAGAAATCGTGGAGAGTTGCAACACTTTACTCAATCCCATCTCACACCAGCATTTAATTTAAATCGCGCGACTCATATTTTCAATTTCGATAAATCTCTGTAGGATCATGATAATAACTGCCTCTTCCATCGATAATGACTTTGACCAGCTTCTTTCGCTGGTGTTAAAGACATAAATCATTACATTCTTGAACTATTTTATTTCATCTCTTTCAGCTTCGCAATACGCTAGTGATTTTATCGAATTTTATGTAGACTAGAAAATAATAGTAGTAGTGTAATATTCTGAGTTTTTTTATAGTATTTACTTGTTTCCGGTGGTGAAAAATCCTAATTTTGGCTTTTAGCTTTGGAAAAAAACTCAAAACCTATAATTGGAATACTGGATGCATAAGAAAGGAATTCGTGGTGTGTACACCATCATATTCATAGTCCATACTGACATAATTACTAGTTTGCTACCCTCTCCCAACAAGGTTGTCAAATCGGTTTATACCAGTGTGTCGGTTTACCAAGTGGAATGGTTCGACCGGTGGTACATACCGGTTAATATTACAAATAATTTACAAATACTTATATTTAAACATGACATTTAACGTAAATACCTAAATATTTGTACTTGAATCCAACAAATAACATCAACATTTAACTTTTTAACACATAAAACAAATAATAAACTACTTTTTATCAATTAAATTCACTAAGATAAGATAATTTTATTTGGAGATTCGTATATCGATCGTGCCGGTCATACCAGTAGTGTCATGCCGGTTTTATAACCGACACAGGTTAAATCAGGTTCAACCAGTGACACGCCGGTCGGCGTGACAACCATGCTCCCAACAAATCGGGGCCACGAATTATACCCGATTGTCTGGCCCACCCGCCCCACTAATCTTTCTTTCTTTTCCTACCCGGTTCCTTTTCTCGAGGAATCGAATATCCGGATATTTGCCTTTTTCCGGTTTTCCTACGCCCGCTTCCTTTCTCTTTTGTTTTTGTTTTTGTTTGAAAAGCCGCTTCCTTCCCTGTTTCCACTCCCTCCCTTTATTCCTCTTTTAACGACCCGTCCCCAATTCCGCGTGGGCCCCCGGCCCAACTCCTCACGTCACCCCCCGAAAACCCGTTTAACGCCCTCTTCCGGCCCTCCTGATCTCCAGACTCCAATCTATAAATTGACCTCCAATTCACTTCGCTTTGCCGTTTGAAACTCAAACAACGCTCCAAACAAATCCTTCTCTTTCCTTTCTCTCCCCTCTCTCTCTCCACTTTCTTCCTTCCCTCCCTCCCCTGTCTCTAGAAGCCTCCTTACCTCAAAAAAGCCATGGTGAGTGAGTCGAGGAAGAATGGCGCGGCGGCGGAGACTGTCAAGTTCCTCTGTAGCTACGGCGGGAAGATAGCTCCTCGTTACGGCGACGGCAAGCTCCGCTACGTCGGCGGTCTCACCAGAGTCCTCGCCGTGCATCGCTCCGTGTCTTCCGCTGGTAATTTCCTCGCTCTTGATTTGCAACTCAACTAGCTAGCTCCGCCTTCCATCCAATTTCCTCGTGAAATTGAACTAGAATCTCTGATTGTATCGCAGAGCTGATGGTCAAGCTGGGGGAATTCTGTGGCCAGTCCGTGGAATTGAGGTGCCAATTGCCCGGCGGAGATCTGGAGACTCTGGTCCTGATCAAGTCCGACGAGGAACTGGCGAGCCTCGTCGAGGAGTACGACAGGTGCTGTCCCGGTGCCAAGATTAGGGCGGTCCTATCGCCGCCGAAATCGCTCAAAACCGTCTCTCCGCCTCCGTCGTCGCCGCCGTCGAGTGGGGATTCGTCTCCTCTCGCACCGGACTACTACTACTACCGCCAATCGCGTTGCGGCTGCCACACTCCGCCGATTGGTTTCCGCACCGGCGGAGTTCGTGGAAATTACAGTCCCCGCTTTGCAATCGGACAACGCAGAATCATACCCGCTGCGGCAGGGTTCGGCATTAGAACGAGAACTTGATGATTGGACTTGGAATGAAACAAAATTAGTCGAATTAGGTTATACAAGTTTGGATACGATGAGATGATGATGATGACGAAATTTGTGAAAGTTTGGATTCGTCTGTGTGTCGTGTGATTGATTCGTCTGTCGAACATTCAGAAATTTTCCATTTCTTATCATCGCCGGTTTCGTCGAAATCTCGACTTCCGGTACCTTGACACGACGGCGAATTTGGTACTACCGTTAGGTTTCCGTCGCCGCCGCAGCAGCTGACAGGCTGCCCGTTCCCGTTGTGTGGTAAGCGTCATTCACGTTTGTGGTGACGGGTCCCGCTGTTTCCAGGGGCATGGCGGAGGTGCCGTGCTTTTTGGCGGTTTCTGAGCGTTTGACACGTATGGGATGGAACGCTGCGTCCATTCCTTCTCTTGACACGTATCGAGCGCCCGTGTCGACTATTCTTTCATTTGTTGGCCGTTTGATTTTTATTTTTATTTATGTGGATTCTTTAATTCGTTTTTTTTTTTGGTGGATTCTTTAATTCGTTGATTATTCGTAACGTTTTAAACTCTTTTTTGACAAAATATGATTGCAGGTGAGTGGAAGGTGGAAGAGGCCAGCTAATGCGGAGGAATCAGAATCAAAGTGCGTAATCATGGTCTAGTTGCGGAGAAGGCTTCAATTTCAATATTTAAGTCGCCTGATGGCTGGCTGGACTGGTTCACAAAATATTAATTACTAAAAGTGACGAGGATATCAAATTCTGGAAACTGGTGACTTGGTCTCCTTGGACTTTATCATTGAACGTTCAACATTTGACAAATTGAATTAAAATATTGTACTCTAATTGAACTAATAGTTACAACTTACATCTATTTTGTAGTATTTTAGCAAACTACAACTATTGAATATTATCTTTTGTTAAATTGATTTTGGAATTTGGAGTTTATTTAGTAGAGGTTAGAGTATTATATTGTATTATAAACTCGATTTATTTCATGGTTGAGATACTTGTACCTTATTATTAAGTATCATATGTTTGTCAAATAAATTTGGATACTTCGATCATTAGTTTTCAATTGCTAGTATAAATTAATTATGAAAAGTATTTCAATATCTAGTAAAATGTTTGTTTTATTTCTGACATAATTTTTTATTTATTATTATTATTAATCTACATAGATCATACATTAGAGGTGAATTCAAAATACTATTGATAACACACTAAAAAAATGATTGAAAACAACATATTGAATGATACGTCAAACTTTAAAGATTACGGGTCACTGGGTCAGACACATGGTTGGTAGTTTGGTACCAGTATTTGGTATATATCGAATACTTATTGATATTTGGTATTACTCAATACACTGTATTTTATGGGATTAGAATTGAATTTCAAGTTCTATTTGATATTTGAGATTATGGGATTGGAATCGATCTATACCTAAAATCATTCAATGTCAAAATATAAGTTGTTGTGTATTTTACTCACTCCCTCCAACTAGGCTCCAACACTCATTGCTAGTTGCTACCAGACCTTCGACCGTCAAAATAACCACTTAATTATACATAGCTCATTCCCACACTATTTGACGATCGATACCAACCTCATTTCATTACTAATAGTATGTTTATGGGTTGCTTAATCGTCCCATGTTTCAGTTTATTGTTTTAGTTTGTTAACGTGCTTTTTACAAACCACATTTCCCTAGCTTGTTGTTAGTATACTTGATATTTTCCCGTTTATTTTGCATGAGTGTTGGCACCATTGTTTGCTTTTATATATTTTAAGAAGGATTTGTAAACCTGATGGCAGATGAGAAGTATTTGCTCTTATAAATTTGTTTGATAATTTTGAAGGAAATTCATTTAATATTTGGTATATACTTATAGCAAAAATAATTTGGGATTGTGATATCAAATTTATTTAGAAATTGATACAAGATTTATGACACTCTTTGGTATTTGAAACTTTACTATTTTGCACTGAAATATTGATACCTTACTGATTTCTAACTCTAGTCAGGTATATAGACGTCATCGTATATGAGTTATAATTAGATCTTCTCGGATTTGGTAACGTTTAGTGGAAGGGATCCCGAGGCACTATGAGGGAAACATATGTATCCCAATAGAGATTATGCTCTTAGACCTTAGTAAACTGTTGCATGTCACTTGTTGTTAGGGGTTGGCAACGACGCGGTTTACACCGGATCCTAAATCGTATCGAATCAATATTTGGACCGAATTAGATTATATAGAATATAATTTGATTTGGTTTTATGTATTATTTTAAGTATGAAGAAAAAATTAACAAAATTGAATTTGGACCAGATCGAACCAAATCAAATGAATCAAACATGCTATTGATTAAATTATGGTACTCTTTTTTTCTGCCCCTCCTATTTCAATTCGATCTCGTTCTGGACTAATCCATCGATACCCACACCTACTTTCACATATCCCTTCATTTCAAGTTGATTGGGCTTGTTGTACAATTATTTGAGAGGGACAAATTGTACAAATTCGGGATATCCCTTTGCCAAGGTATCCGGTACAGGCTAGATTTGTCTGGCACCATGAGATCTCTGGTTCCTACGCGGTTCGGTCGGGGTATCACTTAGCTTCAGACCTTAGGCGATGTCGAGATGTTCAAACTAAACAAGAGCCTCTGATTTGCGATATTGTTCTGTGGGGTAAGGTCTAGGATGCTTCGGTGCCAACTAAGTTTCAATTCTTCTTTGGAAATTGTTGCGGAGAGTTGTCCCCACAGGAGGGGTATTTCTGTGCCCATGTGTTTATGGGAGGTGGAATCTGCTGAACATTTATTTTCCATTGTAGATTGGCTTAGGGTTGTTTGGGAGGCTTATGGGTTTGGTTCTCTTCGTGATTCTTTTCCAACTTGCTCGATGAAAGTTTTCTGGCGAAGATTTCCTGACCAAGAAAACGTGGAGGGAGGGATGCTTATGCGTGTGTTCGCCCTCTTCTGGCGTATATGGAAAGGTCGAAATTGGGTGGTTTTTGACTCCACGTTGTTCACGTCATTTGTGTTGCTCTCTCAGTTCAATAGACAGAAAGCGGAATGGGAGGTGGTGGCTTTGACCAATGGGTCTACACATTTTTCTGCTCCTGGGAACGGGCTGAGAGGGGGCAGTGTGGGTGCTCGCGGATAGGGTCAATAGTTCGGGTTTCCATGGTGCAGGTGGCAGGGTGATGCAGGAGGCCTCAGGAACGTTGCTCGGTGATGAAGCCTGCTTGTACCCGGACGTCCAAGATGCTTTCTTGGGTGCGCTTCTAGCCTTGAGCAATGGGATGCGTTGGGCGCTTGAGATGGGTATGCAGAATGTCGTTTTTGCCGAAGATGCTCAGGTGGTGCTGGACAAGGTTAAGGAAGGTTGGTATTCGGATGCTCGTGTGGGGCGATTTTGAGCGAGATCAAGTTATTGAGACAATGTTTCCACCAATTTAGTGTTCGTTTTGTTGGTCGTGTTCGCAATAAGGTGGCCCGTACAATGGTCAAAAAAACCCTTTTATTATTCCCTAGTTTGATAGAGTTCGACTTTCGTTACTGGCTTTGGTCGACCAACTGACTCTAGTGTATCTTGGTTATCTCGTTCTAGACCAAGTATCTTTTTTTTTTTTGCCAATAGACCAAGTATCTTTTGGAGGGGAAAAAAAGTTAATCGGCCTTGTGGCCATTTTGGGTGACAGTCACTTACAAAAGTTGGCCCAACGTAGTAGTAGTAGTATCTTTAGTAAAACTGGGCCTAGCTACCAAGCGGACCCAAAACAACTCCAACTGTCAAAACCAGTTAGATACAAGACGTTCTTCGTCGTCGTTTCACTTCAAATCTCCAAGTATTCTGTTCAATTAACCTGCCTGTGTTTTCTCAACTTTCGACCTGTGGTTGCCTGGTACATTTACTGTTCCTCTTCTACGTGCGAAGGATACAGTTCCCCTTAATTTGCTCCATTTTATCTCTTTTCATCTGCTAGAGTTCTCGGTGGTCGAGGTTTTGTGAGCGGCAGAAGGTTAACCGTACCCTTTTAGTTCCCTCAAATTTAATCACAATCAATCAAACCCTGAGCTCTCACTGTAATGAAGCTTTGGTTTGGTCTCATAAAATATTTGGCCAAATTACGATGACAATTTTGATTTGATTAGTTTCACTCGATTTGTTTGACTTATTATGAGGTGGATTAATACATGTTTTGTAGGCGAGGTTGGCATAAATATTCTCCTTGATATGACCCGCCCCGTTCTAGAACCATTATCATCGAAATTACATGTAACTGTACTCAAATTACTTGAAGTTTTATTTTTATTACCTCGTATAGTAGCTATATCAACGTTTGAAATAGGGGAGAAACTCAATTTTTTGAATAAATTTTAAGTCATGTTATAGTTTGTATTTTTAAAAAAAATCAACATTTCTAATGTTTTCTCTTTAAATTTCATAGGGATCGATCTATTCCAAACCACACTCTGTAATAAATTATGTAACTTAGATGTAGGGGTGGCTATACGGTCCAGTCCGGTTAAATTGGCCCAAATTGATCCGATCCAGTCCGGTCTTTTTGAAAATATAAGGACCAAAGATTGGATCAATCTCTTGACCCAGTCCGGTTCCAATTCGGTCTTAATTTTATATTGAGCTTGTGGGGATTTGAGTGGCTAAGGCCTGAAAGAGTGTGGAGTTGGTTCAGTTTTGTACTAAGTGCAAAGGTTTGCGACCGTTTATGCAAATTACCCTTTAAGTTTTGGGTGTTGAGCTCTCTTATCCAGTCGATCCGGTCCCGAACGGGGTTTTTTTACCTCAAATCTAAGCCCAAAGATGAGATTTAATTGTTTACTATCCGATCCCAGTCCAGTCTCGGTCCGATTTATACGGTCCGGTTTAGGATAAAACCAAAAAACCCGGACCAAATAGCCAGTACTACTTAGATGCATGCAACCTATCATGAAACTGAGTATTAGTAGAGAGATACCCACCCATATAAATCATCGTTCCTAAGTCCAATTGTACCTTAGGCTACGGTTAGAATCTAACCTAAAACTAAGGGGTCGTTTGCTTGTTGGATTTGGAAAATGAGGGTTTTGGCCAACAAAAACCTTGGGATTTATGTTGGATTTATTGGATTATGGATTTGAAGAGTCTAATGTTTGCATGATAGATTTGATGAAGGATTTGTGATGAATTTGTTAAATAAATAACTAACCATCAAGGATTTGCAAATCCCAAATCAATATGTGGGATTTACAAATCCGTGGGGTCCACGGATTTGGTTCAAAAATAAAGATCAAATCCGTGGACCCCACGGATTTAGCACCCTTCAACAAACAATAGACTTATGTTAAATCCATCAAGCTTGGGATTTGCGTACCAAATCCATGACCCAAATCCAACAAGCAAACGACCCCTAAAGTCGAGGTGTTAAAAGAGTCAATTTATGATCCCAATCTTGGAAAAAATTTATCGGTGGAGACAGAGTGGAAGGAGAAAAAAAAAAGGAGCGCAGTGATCCACCCGGCCAAACCTCCATCTCTCTCCCACTACCAAGTTAGTGAAACTGAGCAGCGCAGGCACGGGGGCTTACTGCTCCCTGCAGAGGCAGGTCCCCTCACCCAAGCAAAAGCGCCAAAAACAAAATCAACAAACACAAATGGCTGTGGAGCAGAGCAGCAGCAGTGCAGTGGCAAAATGGAAACAAGGCCCCAGAGAACCGATGAAACGACGAGCCGAAACAGGACACTTCTATATTACGAGCCTGATTGAACAGTACTAGTGGGTATGCAAAAGCTGGCCACTCCTTTTTCTTCATTTCGAATATAATAATCATAATAGTGCGCGGCCCCACATTTCTTCCCGCTTATATCAATCTCCTGGATGAATCACTAACCAAAACCACCCCTTTCTTCTTCTTCTTCTTCCTTTTTCTTCTTGATAGAGAGAGAGATGGTGCAAAGCTTGGCTTCCTCAACGGCCACGACCTTCGTCGTTCTTCTCATCACAATTGTGCCAATTGCCAGTTCATTCCAA